CCCCCCTCTCTAGCTGGTGATGATGGACCGCCCCCCGTTCTTCTGTAACAGACGCACGAGCCTACTGCAGGTACTTTTGTGCAACCACCACAAAAAACTATTCCACCTTCAACTCTAGTAATTGTAGTTTTTTTTTTGCGAGAAGTGTGGCCCGTTAGGGGTACGCTTTTTGTTTTGTTTTGCAAAAAAAAAGCTGTTCAGAGGGATCGTGTGTGGAGTATGTGCGCACGAGAAAAAGAATGATTTTCATGCACAGGGGCGTGAAAATTACGCGATGGCTGTCTGTCTGGTGTCTGTCTGCGCGCCCTAAATACCCAGCAGACTCGAGCCCATTTCACTATCTCGGCACCAAATTGCAAACTAAAACTTGCGCACAACAAGTAACATTTTGCCCGAGCTGTCCCAACCGCTACCTTTGCAATCCGTGGTCGGTGTCTCGAGATAGCAGTAAGTAGTGTTGGACTCGTCTATACGGCTGCTGCTGTGTGGAATAGCCGCTGACATGATGACTGTGCTGGATCTTGGGAGTGTCCGATTTTCGAATTTGGAGGATAGACTCATGCAGCACACCACGATATATATCCTGGCCTGTTCGGGCGTGAAGTGCCCCTTTTCGCTGCCCTCCTGTCTTTGCTTTAGTGGCTTCCTAGATTCGGGCGAGGGCATGTAGTCTATGTGGAGCTATTATTGATGTGTAGACTATTATTATATATAGTCTATCTCTGTGAAAGGATATTGGGAGCTTTGGCCGCCTTGGAGAGGAGGGTTACGAGTTCATCGATGAACTTGCGACACATGCCGTGGGAGGAAGGGACGGAGGAACGATGGCTCTGAAAGGAGTCTTCAAGGAACGACTTCTTCAGATCGTTTCGGTGGCTACACAGGTGGCCATATCTCGGCGAGTGCAGAGGTACAAGCTCGCATTGCGCGGGCGTCAAGACGCCGAAAACAGGCGAACAAGATCGACCTCGGACCAGTCAACGCCAATGATATGGGGATGGAGTGTAGACGCATCGTAGAACGCGTTTTCGTTTGAAGTTGGCGTCTTGTTTGAGAGTAGATGTGACAGATTTGCGTAGAATAGGGTAAGATGTTATCATCATGGAAGGAGAAGAAAGGGCTTTTCCAAGCATAACAACATATTCGCCTGATTGAGAGCGAAGTATCTGATTGAGAGCGAGAGCCAAAAAAATTGAAATTTCGGGTCCAGACGCCTCTTGCCATTTCTTGGCAAGTAGGGGACGGGCTATTCCAAGAAGCGGTGCAAATTGAAGGTCTCATCAGCAGCTTCGCGAGCATATGCGTGTCATCGTCATCGGATGCTGCAGCGAGGAGCTAGACAAGTTGCTAGATTTGCCCAGATTGGCTATTTCTGCTCAAACTGTTTCAGGGCGGTATCGCGTCGGGCGGTGGGCTCTGCTGTAGCTTCTGCTCCCCGCTGTAGCTCCACAACGAGAGACTCCCACAGGATGACCAGGGTAGCGGCTTGAAGCTACGGGCTAGCCCTTCAATTCAAGCTACACAGCAAGCTCCACCTCTCAGTGGTAGTCCGGCTACAGCGTATCGCGCAATCTCGCTCTCAATCAGATGCTACGCTCTCAATCAGGCGAATATGTTGTTGCATGCATGTAGCATGGATCAAAGTATTAGTTGGATTTCAGCTTTTTTTACAAGAGGACATCAACGCAGTAGTATTTTAGCAAGCTTGCGAACGCATATTATTATAGGATACCATGAGGATTGTCATTGGTTTTATTTCAAGTTGAAAAGGAGATATTTTTACGATGTAAGTGACCGTAGAAAAAAGTCCTACACATGCGTTGTACTTCGTATTGGATTAATATTCATGTAGAGTATGAGACATTAAGTGAAAGCTTTCTGAGGTACATCTGCAATTAACTGTCGGAAGGCAAGCAAACAAAAAAAAATACCATGAGGATTGTCATTGGTTCTATTTCAAATTGAAGAGGAGATATTTTTACGATATGACAGTAGAAATAGGTCCTGCATATTAATATGTTGTTGTACTTCGTATTGGGTTAGGATTCATGTAGAGTATGAGACATTAAGTGAAAGCTTTCTGAGGTACATCTGCAATTAACTGTCGGAAGGCAAGCAAACAAAAAAAAATACCATGAGGATTGTCATTGGTTCTATTTCAAATTGAAGAGGAGATATTTTTACGATATGACAGTAGAAATAGGTCCTGCATATTAATATGTTGTTGTACTTCGTATTGGGTTAGGATTCATGTAGAGTATGAGACATTAAGTGAAAGTTTTCTGAGGTACATCTGCAATTGTCGGAAGGCAATAAAAAAAAGTATTTTCCGGTCCACCCTCAAACTCTCAATTGTGGACTGAAAACTCAGGGAACGTTACCTGTTTGCGGCCTACGCCACATATTATTATTGGGTGAGACTGTTTTGGTGATGAACTGACTTCACGAGAGGTAGACGAGCGTCCTTCACACGGACGAAAGAGGGAGTGCTCAAGGGCGGCTCCCATAGGCCCTGACCTGTTATGCTTATTTCTTGATATTTTTATGCACGTTTTTCGGCAGGTAGGTGCGTAAGCTCCAAAGGCGACTTATCCACGCTGGCTGGTTATGCTCAAAATGGCGAATTTTGCACGCTGGTTATTATGCTCATTTTCCTCGCGTGTGCTCGTACTTCTGCACGCTTTTCTTCGTCCCTCGTGCTCGGGCAATGCTTATTTTTGTCGTTAATGCTCGACATGTGCGCGCGCGGTTGGCTTCGTCGACACGCTTTGTTTATTATGCCGTCTGCCACGGTCGAAATGTATGAATAATCTATAATATTTTTTTGCCTTCCGACAATTAATTGCAGATATACCTCAGAAAACTTTCACTTAATGTTTCATTCTCTACATGAATATTAAACCAATACGAAGCACAACAACATATGTAGGACTNGGTCGAAATGTATGAATAATCTATAATATTTTTTTGCCTTCCGACAATTAATTGCAGATATACCTCAGAAAACTTTCACTTAATGTTTCATTCTCTACATGAATATTAAACCAATACGAAGCACAACAACATATGTAGGACTTATTTCTACTGTCACTTACATCGTAAAAATATCTCCTCTTCAACTTGAAATACAAGCAATGACAATCCTCATGGTATCCTACATGCGTTCGTAAGCTTGCTAAAATACTACTGCGTTGATGTCCTAGTTGATGTATGAATAATTGTGTTGCTGTATCACACAGCGCAAATTATCTTGGACTCTAGCCTCTCAGGAAATGTTTTTTCGACGCATCAGACTATTACTACTCTGCACTCGTTCGTTCTAGTAAGGGTGAAGAGGGGACTCCTTTCCCGCATTCCCTTCACCCTTGGTCAGCCATCCGTGATCGCCATTCGGCAGACAGAGTAGATATATATATATTTCTGGAATCAATCGCGGTAAAATACTTTGAGCAATATGAATGCGCCTCCAACAACCCCTCCTGCAGTAGCAGTGTTTAAATGAGAATACCAAATCAATTGCTGTCAGTGCCTCTAGAATCATGGGCACATTCCGTCCCCCCCCCAAAATTGTCGGTGCAACGAAAACTAGCAATCAATTTCAATTAACAATCAACAGCCATACATAGCAGTGCGGGCTAAGGGTGTTATTGCTGTAAAATAAAATGGAACACCGCTGGCACACCACCTTACGGCCACTGAACCAAACAGCAGGGTTGCCCTGTTTTCTGCAACAAACCGCACAAACGTCAAGAAAAAAAATCAAGCCAAAGCCATGCCACACATTCAATTCCAAGAGGAACAAAAATACGCACAGGCACTTACTTATGGCTTCCGCAGAATTCACCTGAAAATAATGCAGTACCAAACGAAACAAACAGAAAAATAATAAACAAATAAGAAAGCGCCTCGAATACGATATATCGGACTCATATCCAAGACACCACAAACACACACCACGGGCAAAACAGTGAACTCGCGTACTCCCGTACTACTACTCTCCGCGCCCTCTATTGTACTTGAGAAGGGCAGCTGCGGCAATGCGATCGCTGAAGCTCGACTCCTGCCTCTGGTCCATACACGCACGCAGAATAGAAAATACTCGCTCCATGAAGGCAGAGGATGGCTGAATCAGTGATGTGCGGTGTGTCCTGTGTTCCTGTGATCTTGGTCTTCGGTCTTTGGTCTTTGCGTCTTTTCTCTCCTCTCTTGTACAAAAGTCAAGTAGTTTAAATCAACAGTAATCAAAGTTGGTTTAAACAACCAATGTATTTAATTAACACCGAATCTCCAATCTCCAGATCTACAATATGTTGTCTGATCTGTGAACTTGAAACTAAAGAGTTACAAGACCAAGAGGCTTTGAAGGGGATAAAAAGGCACTGTTTTGGTTACAATGAGCTGTCTGAGCGTCTGAGTCACCCCTTACCCCCATCTCACTCGTGTATAATCACCGCTATGCACGATAACCCCTGTTATGCCCAGTTTTATGCATATATATGCGCGCTCCAAATATGCTTTTGCTTATGCACGAAAAGCCCAGTTATGCACAAACATAAGCATGCATAACAGGTCAGGGCCTAGGCTCCCACAGCAAGGAGGGGCCCCATGACTCATCGCGGCGCCCCTTACCAAACGGCAATCTTACCAGTCTGCGTGGCACCAAATCATCCAGCACATGTATCCGACACCAATGTTCGCAGGCCCGCGAACACCCTCCCTGGTTCTTCACGCAAGTGACTAACCACCAACGGGGTAAGAACGCCCCTGGATACATCAGAAAATGCCAACATGGTAATGTATGGAGGGGAAACCCGCGTCCGGGCAAAACCCCTCGAAAAAAAAATTACCACCACAAAAACCGTCGCTATCACAGCGGATCACAACGGCCGCACTTATTAGAAAGGCCAAGGCGAAGACGAGAACGCGAGGAACTACGTTGCCCCGGACGATGGTATCCCAACGCCCCCTACTCCTGCCATTGGTACACAGACCACAACAGTTATGTGCCTTTCCCCGCATGGGATGTGAAGCAGGCGTACACACACGCCACGCTAGACGAGGAGACTCCCCGCTGGGTGCGGGGGCAAATCGCATAAGATCGTTAAGGCTGAGCGTGCGATTTACGGCCTGAAGCAGAGCGGTAGGCAGTGGGGGTACCGCGCTGCTAATACGCTAATCGAGAACGGGTTCGAGCAGTGCAAGGCGGACCCGTGTGTTTTCCGCAAGATGGTAGACGAAGTCGTGGTGATGATTATCGTGATATACGTAGATGACGTTTTGGTGGCTGGGTCTGACAAGGATTGCAAGGAGTTGCTTGCTTCTCTCAACAAGGAATTCCCCACCAAAATTCTGGGAGAGTGCGAATGGTTTGACGGATGTGCCATTGAGAGAGATGTAGAGGCTGGGACTCTTAAGATCTCGCAAACCACGTACATCGCCAGCATGGTGAAACGCTTTGATGTACAATCGACCTCACTCACGAATCCCTGCTTCCCTTGGTGTCGACCTAGGACCGAAGCGAGATGACGAGAAGGAAGGGGAGGGGCCGGTGGGGGAGGCCATTGGCAGCATGATGTGGGTGTCGACGTTATCGCGTCCACTCGTTCGCCGTGCGTGCGGTAGCGCGCCACGCCCACACCCCGGCGAAGANGATCTCGCAAACCACGTACATCGCCAGCATGGTGAAACGCTTTGATGTACAATCGACCTCACTCACGAATCCCTGCTTCCCTTGGTGTCGACCTAGGACCGAAGCGAGATGACGAGAAGGAAGGGGAGGGGCCGGTGGGGGAGGCCATTGGCAGCATGATGTGGGTGTCGACGTTATCGCGTCCNGCCCACGCCCCGGCGAAGCGGCACTGGGATGCCATACAGAAGATCCTCGGCTACCTGAAAGAGACGAGGGACCTCGGCATCACCTACCAACGGGGATCGGGGCTAGGGCTGGCCGTGTACGTAGACGCTAGCTACGCCGACACGGAGGATAAACGTTCGGTGTCAGGGTTGGCGACGACGGTTGGAGGAACCGTAGTCAGCCATGGTAGCAAGACACAGAAAATCGTGTGTTTGTCTTCGACGGAAGCCGAGTACATTGCTGCCGGGGAGGGTGTCAAGGAGGCGTTGTTTGTGCGTGAGGTACTTTCGTTTGTTGCTCCAGAGACCAGTGGTAGCAGCATCCAGGTCCTTGAGGACAACCAGGGGGCCATAGTATTGGTGCAAAACCCCCTCAGCTCAGGTCGTACGAAACACATCGACGTGAGATTTCATTTCATCCGCGGATTGTTAAGGTCGGGGGATATTTCGGTCAAGTTCNAGGTACTTTCGTTTGTTGCTCCAGAGACCAGTGGTAGCAGCATCCAGGTCCTTGAGGACAACCAGGGGGCCATAGTATTGGTGCAAAACCCCCTCAGCTCAGGTCGTACGAAACACATCGACGTGAGATTTCATTTCATCCGCGGATTGTTAAGGTCGGGGGATATTTCGGTCAAGTTCATTCCAACAACGGAGCAACACGCGGACCTCCTGACCAAGGCCCTTAGCAGGGCTAGTCTGCAGTACCACCGGCGCAAGTTGATGAATTTGTCGGAGTAGCTGTAGCAGTTTCTAACACTTGGGAGAGGTCACGTTATCCAGTGATTGAGGGGGAGAGGTCACGTTATCCAGTGATTGAGGTTCATGCCCTTCTCGTTTACTACCGCAAGCATCAGTTTATTGGATGCGAATGATGGGCAAGGGTAAGACGAATGGAAATAATCGACGTTCGGGATTCGCGAAAACCCCCTAGCAACCAGACGCGCTTTGAACTTTCTGTCTTCCCTTCCTTGTTGGTCTTCCAACTAAATCACCACTTTGAGCTCGCAGGCCTGCGCCCCTCTGGCGCGTCGTCAACGAATGAAAACGTCCCCGTGCTCAAGTGCCCTTCAAACTCTTCCCTCATGGCCTGTTCCCACCCCTCTCTGTACACAGACTTGGCAATGCCGGCTACGGTCATATGGGGGGACTCTACTTCACTCGGACGCTTGCCAATGGGGGATTCACTTGGCTCGTGGGACGCCAGAGCCGTCTCGAAGGCGTCTGGCGAGTTGAGTATGAGGTCCACCGCAGCCAGCAGGAAGTCTTCCGCCCCTTGGCGCGCAGCGTGGGCCTCCTCGCCGCGCTCGAACAGCAACTCTCGCACCGCCTTCGCCTCTAGCCCTTCCTCCACGTGAAGTACCGCCGAGAGCATCCAGCTGGTGAACTCCTCCGTGCTGCAGACGGGCAGGCTCGCCACCGAGGCGAGCAGGGCTTCGGCACTTGCAATCCGTACCCGCTGCCCCCACCGCTCTGCCCCAGTCGCTGCCTCCCATCGCAGAGGAGGAAGAGGAATTCGCGACTGAGGAGGACGAAGTTGGGGAGGGCGCGTCGAGCCAACTTGGAGGGAGGAACAAGGGAGAACCTGTGGATGGAGGACCAGGTTTCAACCTTGGCACGACGGCAGCCCCGGGGCCCGCGGGGCCGCCCGCGCGCGTAGCGCCGGCGGCGCC